TGTAGCAGTAGTGTTGTACTCAGAAATCTAGAGCAGAACCAGGTAGGCTGAAGGTGAACTGCAGAGAACTCAAACAATCACTTCCAAAATGAAGGAGGAGGAGCCAGTGAGAAGGTTACAGATTACCTGTCAGATATGGACATCTGGACCTCAGAATAAGGAGTCTCAATACACAGCTGCCATTCAGAAAAGAGTGCTCCTGTGCTGTTTGCCAGGCTAATGGACAGAACTTTTGGCATGCCTTGTTTCAATAAGAGGATTGATTTTCTGAGAGTGCTTTGGTATCATGTGACTACAGTCTATTAGAATAGTTCCTCCTTCATTTTTACTGACTCCCTCACATCCGTCCTTAGACACAACATTGGAGAGAAGCCAAACAGGAAATAGGATTTCTAGATTTGCCAAATTATCATTTGATTAGCTTGGGTATGGAGAAAAACCACTAGTGTTGTTTTTCTTGCTTAAACTTGTTCCACAGTTGATACACAAAAACTTGCACACCCTTTAAAATAGGTTCAAAACTGCCTGCAAGAGAAGAATGGCTGTTTCCCAGACACATTCTTTGTGTTAAATCTGAAGGGCTCACATTTTCCAGAATATTATTTCTATTCATCACAGTGCAAGACGTGACACTGCAATGACTCAGTATTGCAATTGCCTTGGTGTGACATGCTCCAGCACCCATTATTATATTCTGATCTGTTATGCCAGGTTAGAATCTGGAAGAAGCTTGTTCCTGTAAAAACAGCTGGATAAAGATTCCACCTAATGGCTATTTGCTGCAATTAGACTGGAGATGGAGTGGGCCTAGAAAATTCTGTGGCCTGAGACAGAAACGTGGTCTTGAGAATTGTTTTGAATCAACGTTGCACAGCAGTTTGGGCTTCAACGTGCATGGCTTCAAAAATTTCTCCTTTAAGAATAGTATTTATGGAAGTTACAAAAGCACTACCCCAACAGCACAGTTTCCAAGTACATCACTGATCCCCTTGCAAGAGTTTTGCAGAACTAATTTACTCCGATAAAGAGCTCAATGAAATAACTCCTAATAGGTTAAAAAATTGAGCATAAATCTTAAAACATACTGAATTTAGAACATACTTTTCTATTTCTTTGCCTTCTGTCTGTGGATTGAGAAGCTTCATGAAAGCAGAGAAGGTTTTTTAGTAGAGTTTATCTGCCTTCTAACCACCTCCTGGAATGGCCATCAGTTGTACACTACAGCACAGTAATTACACAGGGAGGACAGTGGCCAGCAGATGGTCAGGACCGTAAAAGAACAAGCAGAAGTTCTATAACTGTTAGAAAAAAAATTGCTTTCTGTAATTACAGTGCTGTAAATAAAAAAGGAAGTTCATCTATTCCCATTTAAACCTGGGGCTCCTTATACAACCTTTTTTAGTGCAGTATAGTATTACTTTTTAATGGCCAATACCTCTCACTGCCTCTAGTGAAGACACTGTTCCAGAACTGCATATAAATTCAGGATGGCATATAAGAGGTACTACCCAACTCAGCTTCAGCTCTAAAAGTTTGGAATGACTGACAAGTGAAACTTGCCTTTGACCCATTTTTAACTAAGATTTTCTCAGCACCAAATGCTTTCACATAGGATGTCATTAGGCCTAGGAAGTTCATCACTACTTCATTTCAGAAAAGCTTAGCTGGAAGTGTTCTAATTAAGAAACCCTTCCAGAAGTCTAACTGCAAACATCCCAGAAACAGAAGGGCCTGACCCAGGATAGCAGGGGACAGGAAAGCAGCCTGGTTCTGCTGTTCCCAGCTTCAGAAACATGACCCTGCTGCAGCTCTGTCCTTGTACAAACATACCCACCAAGGAATAGAGTCAGACTGTGCCAGTGGCAGCCACTCACCCTTCCCAGAAAGAGCAGGTTGCCAGTACAAGTAAAGGACTGAGCTGCTGCTGGGAACACTGTTGTACTGAAGCTTTTCTGCTCACCACACACACGTTTTTCACTTCTACAGAACATGTAATAATCTCAAGACCCTCACTAATTTGAGTGTCCCTTGAAGATTGAGATTCACTGTGTGAGAAATGATGGGACGAATGAAGACAAAATTTGAAATACAAAAGTTAGAGAAAAGACAAATGGAAGTTCCACCCTGAATTAAAGGGAAGATGACCCAGCAGTGAGCAAGGAGGTGAGGGAGGGTTTAATTGCCAGTCCTTACAATAGCTCTGAAGTCCTCTGTGAAAGGCAGTAACGACACTGAGTGCTACCACATCATGTTCTTCACTTCCAAGGTCCAAATCTTGGAGAAATCCTAAGCAAACACTAGGAAGAAAGACTAATAGCAAATACATTCTAAAATGCATGTTTTACAGGTTTCAAATTGCATAAAAGCATTTTGCTAGAACGTTTTTACAGCTTATTAGGTGTTCAAGGCAAAAGCAAGAAATGGTTGTAAATTTAAGCACTGTTCTTACTTTGGAGATGGAAACACACCTTCACGTGCCTGGAACCCAGAACCAACAGAAGAATATCTGTAAATATGGGGGTTTTTTCACATCATAATGCAAAACTCAGCACTTTAGGCCTAAAATTACCAATTGCCAAATCCTGGGAGAGGTGATAAGAGAAGCCATTCCTCAGACAACAGTGTCTCATTCAACAGTGTGAGTGGCCCTAAGGGACTCCCCTTGTTGCTGCTGAAGAAAAAACCATAATAGTGTCTCCTCAATAACTGGGGGTCACCAACAGTGGGGGATTCAGCACTGACTCCTGAAGGTGCAAGCTGAAGAGTTTTTGAGAAGGGGTCAATGAGAAGTTTTAAATGATTGCTGGATAATCACAGTCCCAGCTCCATCCATCCCATGCACGTCCCAGGGGAGCCGAGCCAGGCCTGAGCACCACGGGGACTGATGGAGTGGAGCACGGAGAGCTGAGGATGTTTGCCTTGCTTTGCAGCACACCAATGCATCTGAAAGTGTTATTTCATCTATTAAGCAGCTGGCTGGGTGCAAAGGAGAATAGATTCTCTCTTTTCTTGGATGGCACTATACCTCCCACTTCAGTGATTCATTCCCCTCAGCCTTGAGAGAAGCAGCTTCTTTCCTGGCTCATAAACACATTTGTGAAGTATCTGGCAACACTGGTGATCTCTGCTCAGAATCCCTTCCCTTATCCTGCTTCCTCCTCAACTCAAACAGGCTCTTAAAAATATCAGTAGCCAACCATAAATATTCTTATTATTGTTTATAACTTTGTTGGGGAAAAAAAATTTTAAATCCTTAAAAGATTTGTGAAAAGGTCACACATTTAAACTGCATCTGTTGAAGAGCTTTCCATGTTCCTGCCAGGTAATATGGAAAGTCCAGGAATTCAATGGTACAAATATGTCACTGATGCCTGAGAAAAAACTCAGACACAAGATTTTCACCACAGATTACAGGAAAGTAGTACTACTTCTTGAAATTCAGATGCTAGACTGAAAGTGTTTCTTAATGGCATATTTACATGCTTGATGCTAAAATAAGAACTAACCCAAATGTCTGCATTTTTAATGAAAAAACATGATTGACCCAGTTTTTAATCAACAGTCTGGTTGAAATCTCCATGTTTTTCAAAAAACATTGTGCTTTCTGAAGCTGTCTAAATTTACATTCAACGTACTTGGTTATTTTTTCTCCTTTTTTTTGCAGTTTTCCTTTCCACTGTTTTCTTTTACTAGGAACTGGATGATATCATAAATGCAAAAAAAAAAAAAAACCTAAACAAAATTTCAATGTGAAACTCACTGGAAAGATTTATCAAAGACTTAGAAAAAAAATGGTTTATAACTACTTTTATGAGTTAATTTAAAATGTTAAAATGCACACACACTATATATAGTAAAGAACATATGGTTAAAGGTACTTCATTCTCATTGGTCAAACAGGGACCAGCAGAAAACAAGAAGATACTTCTCCTAGGAAAGCAATTTCAACAACAGATTATAATTTCTGAGATAAAGGAATTGCTAAGTATAGAGGTTTTCCCAAGTTCTTCAGGAGAAATGCCATGATTACCAAAAAAAGGCACTCTCTAATGATAGATTATGTTGTGACCTTAGTGACTGTCAACATTAAGATAACTGAGGTTTGCTTTCAAGTCAACATTCAACCCACTGAAATGACAGGTTCTGTATATCCCTAATCAAACACAGCTCCTGCCCTGACCTTTGTGAGGTGTGAATGTTCTGCTTTCTGTTAATCAACCTGCTAATTATACTTAGTCCCAAACAGAAATGTTCAAGTACCACAAGACTGCTGTTCTAAGACAAAAAAAATCTAAATAGGCCCATGGAAGCCTGAATTAGTGGCATCTATAGTCAACCTTCACCTATAGAACACGTGGACAGGCAGCAAAGCCAAACACTTCAGTATAAATATGTACTTTGTATATTTAATTGGTACGACTTTGGTGTTTTTCCCCTAGATGCCCACGTTAGGAGATCAGGAACTGATTGCATGGCTGAGCACGAAGTGCAGCCCATATTGAGAGAGATGCTTCTTGCAGTCCCCTGCTGAATGCCTTTCCAGAGAGGAAAATAGGGCACTGTTCCCTTCAAGCAGACTGTGTTTATAGTGCATGAAATTAAAGCACAGGCAAGCCACATCCCATCATTTAGCAGCAGTCCTGGCTAACTGGGGAGGTCCCAGTTGACTGGAGGTCAGCAAACGTGATGCCCACCTACAAGAAGGGTCGGAAGGACCCAGGGAACCACAGGCTGTCAGCCTGACCCTGGTGCTGGGGAAGGTCATGGAGCAGATCATCCTGGGTGCATCATGCAGCACGCACAGGACAAAAGGGGAGCAGGCCCAGACAGCACAGACTCGTGAAAGGCACGTCCTGCTCGACCAACCTGATCTCCTTCCATGACAAGACGACCCATTTTAGTGGATGAGGAAAAGGCTGTGGGTGTGTCTGCTTGGACTTCAGCAAAGCCTCTGATAGTGTCTCCCACAGCACTCCCCTGGAGAATGGGAGTGGCAGCCCATGGCTTGCACGGGACCACCCTTCACTGGGTCAAACCTGTCTGGGTGGCTGGGCCCAGACAGTGGTGACTGCAGTGACACCAGCTGGGGCTGGTCACCAGTGAGATACCCCAGGGCTCAGTGCTGGGGCCAGTTCTGTGGTAACATCCTCCTCCATGATCCAGGCAAGGAGATCAAGGGCACTCAGTTTGCAGATGACATCAAGTTGGGTGGGAGTGTTGATCTGTTGGAGAGCAGGAAGACTCTGCAGAGGGATCTGGACAGGCCGGATCAATGGGTCCAAGGTCAATGGTATGAGGTTCAACAAGGTGAAGTGCTGGGTCCTGCACTTGGGTCACAACAACCCCACACAGTGTTACAGCCTGGGGGCAGAGTGGCTTTTCCAACCTAAATGATTCCATGATTATCCTTTCTTCACCTGGAAATTTTCTCAGCTACCAGAGGAACTATACAGCCAAAGCTGTGTAATGGCATGACCTGTTCTTACCTCCTTAAATTTAAAGTACAGATGTATTTAAAATATTTGCTGTTCTGGCAGTTGCTTGTTATGATTTAAATGACCACCTGTCTTCTGCTGTTCTTGAGGTTGCAGGTTTTTAGCTGTGTGACACGCACCTACCTGGAGCCCAATTCCAAAGAAACAAGGGTCTGCTTTTGCCACCTTTGCACAGGCAGTGTTTACCTTGTGTACTGCAACGGGATTGATGGGACAGCTTGACACACAGTGAAGGTTTGCTTGAATTGGACTCTAATGCAACTTAACATGAATGAAAATCAGAACAGTCACAGCTGGATTTCAGTTCATGCCTCATTCAACACTAGTCAAGCACAAACTGCAGTTGGCTTTTATGTAGGCTATAAAAAATTCAAATTGTTTTTGTACTGTGACTTCACCATACTGAATTTTTAATACTTATAGACAAACTTTAGGTAAACAATCATAGAAGATACTTTAATTTTCTATGACTGTTCAAGAATGGGAGGTGTTCTTGCCACTCCACAAGTAAGTTTCTGAAAAATTAATCAAAATGTTTGTGACTAAACTACACTTTGAATTTAATATATTTATCAATATTAGTTTTGCAAGATGTTTATGCACTTCATTTGAAATATTAAAAGCTGAATTTGTTGGGTTGGAAAAATCTCAAATATATATTTTATATATTGCAATTTCAGTTTTTTAATATACTTCCATTTGCCTTTTTTACTATAAAAAAAGTGCAGAGACTCTTCTGACATTCTACAAAGGGCAGTCAGTGTGATCAAATATAATGATAAAACATAAATCTTATTTTAAATATTTGACTTCAACTTTCTGACTTCTGAGATCCAGAAAGACATAACATTACTGGCCTGGATACACTATACCTAATTTTATGGCTTCACCATTGTAAAGTCATAGTATCTCCCAAGGACACAGGGTTTCCAGATGCACTGAAAATATCAGTGCTACAACTTTTTTTATGTTCAACAGATTGTAAATTCCCTAAGATTAACTACTGGCACTCATAATAAACTTTGCTATCAGCGTATGACAAATTAGACTTATAAATTAAATATTGAATCGACTCAAGTTCTTCTGCAGATCAGAGTAAACTGTTCAGGTATTTAGGCATCTGCAGAGTTCCCCCCTTTGCTCTGAAGTTGTTGTCTCCTGGAACTAGAGAATGCAGACATACCTTTTGGATAGGTAGATTTTTAGAATAAAAAGAAGTTTTGCACAGTCCATTAAACACAAAAGTGCATTAGTAACAAGCTCTTTTTAAATCCACATCAAGCAGAAAGAGGAGCTGGTTTAGACTGTCATTATTCCCTGGCATCTTCAAGAAAGAAATGTGAAAAGCTGCTCAAAACTCTCAGTTTGCCTCTATTTCTCCCCCCCACCATCTGGGGTGGCACAGGGTGCCTGAGCCACAGCTCCAGTCAGGCTGTGCCCCTGCATTTCAGCTGGCTTTGACTCAGGCTCCAAAGGGGGGATGACACCTGCCTGTAAAGAGCTCTCAGTCACAACACCCTGCAAAGGCAGCTCAGCAGCCCCCTAAGGACTGCAGGAGGACTGGCCATCAGCTTTCACACAACAGGCCAAACACACCCAGAGTTTGACTGCAAAGAGGGCAAGGATGGGTTTCTAGATCCTAAATGATGCTTGCCCTGTAAGCAAAGAGCAACAAACTGTTATCACACAAACAGCTGGGGAACCCATCAGCTCCTCAGCAGTTCTGGTCTGCAAGGCAAGTGCACCTGGTTGGGACCTTGATGCCTGGTTTAAATCACAAAATGGTCTCCTACTTTAGTAGAATATTTACTTACTTTGGAGTGCTCTACTGCAGAGCACACTTTACCTGGGAAATTCAGGTTGCAGCCACCTCACCTGGATAGCAAACAGCCTCCTTTCATCTCGGTGATGTAAGTTTGCCTTGAATATCTTGCTCTTAAATCTGAATTTGTTTCTATAAACTAGCAACTCCTGAATTTGATGGAGCAGCTCATCTAATGCTAGGCTATCTCAGAACCAGAACTTTGAAGCACTTAGCTTTTTTCAGCAGCTGAGCATCATTCAGACATTGCTTCTTCAGCTCATTCTCAGGCTGTCCCTGGGAGTGAGCTGCCTGTCTGCTGGGAGTGCCATCCCACTAATATCTTCCACCTATATTATTTTGCTTTCTTGGATGCTGTGGTTCTTGATTGCCACTTCACCCTCACTGGACACATCTGCTACAGTCCAAGAAAAGTATGCTGCAAATGTCCACTATTTTCACAGATATTGGCCCTGTACAGATCTGCAAAAATAACTTTATCCTGAAGTCCTTTCAAGCTTTTTAGGCCCTCCTTGCTTGTGTCTTAGACTGAGGTTTTTCTATCCCTAAAACATTTTGACCACAGTATGTGAACAAAGCATCTAAATCAAAGTACAGATCCCTTCAGCTGCCCTAAAACCTTGTATTCTTCTGAGGCCATCCTGTTCAGGCAGCCTTGGACAATGAGTTCCTTTTAATTCAGTGGATAGCTTTAGCATATTAATGTTTATGAATATAAATATGTTATATTAACACCTGCTTGGATTGTCCATTAGCTGCCTCCAAAGATGAAGCGTGACAAGGTTCCTCTCAGCTCACAGCTGATTGAAAGCACAGCAACCATTTGTTGTACTTGGCTTACAAAAATCAGCATTCACAGTCTGCACGATTTCATTACGCGGCACAGCAGGGGGATGAACTTCAAGCAGCACAAAAGAAAGGAGCATCCTCCCTTGTGAAATAGCTTTGTTGGCATCCTAGAGTCTGATTCAGATATTAGGTATTTTAAAAAAAGTTACCTTTTATGCTTTTGGTACAGTATCATGCAGCCAGGTAAGATCTGTAAAGCTGAGAACAGAACAAGGAGTTATTTACGACTCACAACAATTGGCAAGCTGATCACTGCTTTGTACTTTTCTTGTCCATTGTCCCAAAGATGGAGGTTGAGCTGGATGCTGCACTGGTAGCTGAGAAGTCAAGTGCTGACAGCCTTGCCTAGAAGGTCTCTCAAAGGAAGCACCGTTATAATAACAGGTCAGCTAAAAAAAAAATAAAATTAAAAACTTGCTTTAAAATATTCTGAAGTCTCCTTATGCAGTTGCTTTCTCATAAAATACTAATATCATTTTAGCAGATGGTTACAGCTGTTAAAGGCTGAGTTGATTATATAATCAAAATATTCAATTCTGCTTGAACATTATCCAGAGAAGTCATTGGCTCTCATGCAAGATCTCAATGCACCCCTAAAAAAGGAAAGATTTGGACCTTAATTCCTGTTCTTGCTGTTTTATTTTATGGTGTTATTTTTACACCAGTCACATCCAAACACCAATGAATTTCTGCACTGCAGGTCTACATTGTTTGTAGGGGTGGTGGGAAGCTCTCAGGCCATCAAGTGAGCTCAATATTAATCACACAGTTCATGCCACAAAGCTGTGTGACATGGACTTCAAACACTTTGACAGACAGCACTCGTTTTGTAGCTAATCACAGACTTGGTGCCCTCTTGCTTCAAGGCTGAAAACGTGATTAAGTCAAAATTGTTTCAGTACATTCAGTACATGCAGCTCTTCCAATCTCCTGCACAACTACCAACTACTTCAGCCATTGATCTGCACGTGGGATATTTGATGCCTGAGGCAGACAAGGCAAATTACATGCACAGCACAATCTTTTTTTTATGGTTTTGGGTTTAAGGCCCTACATACAGAACATGGGGCAGAAGGTCCTGAAATGCTATGCTTGTCCCTGCAGGAAACCAGAGAAGCTGGAGGAGATTGCTTTGTAAGGTAGAAGCTTATCTGGTCGTTTGAAGGGTCTAGAGGGGACTACTGAGCATCCCTGAATGGGGATACCCTTAGAAAGTAGGTAAATTCACCACTGCACCAAACCTCTTAAGTGTTTACTTTACATATAAGCCAAAGGATCCAGTCACAATTCCTTTATTTTCTTCTCCAAAAAGGCATTTTCAGGTTGGCACTATGGGGTGAAAGCTGGATAGCTTTTTGTCTAACTTTAAGATAAACAGCAGACAGGTGGCACTTGCAGGTCCCCTGATCTGACACCTGCACTACACAAAGCCAGCATCTGACAGCTCACCTGCTCCACAGCCACCCAGCTTCGGGGAAACAGGCTGGAACTCCTGGTGTTCTGTGCATCTAAGGCAGCTCCCAAACCAAGAAGAAAGCTCATCCACTTTAGAATGCCTTAGCAAAATCTACCTTGGATTTGGTTCTACAGGAATGAGTTACTCATTGCAGTAACATCTTAATTTTTTCAGGTATAACACTCTGTCCCTACATTTGCACTTTTTTTTTTTTGCTTAGTTATGCCAGAAGCCCTGGAAACCAGACCTTTACTGGAGCAGATAATTCCCTTGCATAATCTAGTATCCATCTCCACAAGGCTGCTCTTCCACATCCCAGCTGTGCTCGGAGAGCCGGGGAGGAAGACAGCTGATGAATAATGAATGGCTGTCAGAGCTTCCCAATAAGTGCACTGCTTGAGGGAGAGGAGGGGAGATAAACCTGCACTCCTGCACATCCTCTCAAACACCACGTATCCAGCACTTTGGCCCAGGCAGTTTTCTTAGCCCATACCCAGGTACTTAGGGAGAGTGTAAGGAAGGGCACGGTGAGGGCAGGGGGGGGGCTTTCAGTGTGACACAGTCAGATGTCTGTAGAGGTCATTTGAGGCCCCATCTTCGAAGAAACAAACTAAAGCACTTTGTTGCATTCAGAGAAGGGGAGGCACAACACCATCTTCCTACATGAG